CTTAGTTTGCAAACCTTTGGACTGTTACCTGATAAGGTTATTACACCAAATACCCAGGCAGAAATAACGTGGCTGCACAATTTGCTGAAGACTGGGCCTCATTTTTATGCACTAATCCCTGCAGGTTTGATAATCATTATCCTTCTGATAAGTTAGTCACCTTTTTCAAAAATCATCCGGTATGCTTCCCTAAGGTTATTTCTTTGCAACCTCTGGCAGGGGCTCGGAGTTGTTTACTGATGGGTCTTCCACTGGGAGAGCTGTGGTGGCCTTCCCTCCTGATTTTGATATTCAGCCTGTTGATGCTAAATCTGCTCAGGTGGCTGAATTGATCGCTGTACAAATGGCCCTAGAGAATTACGCTTATATTCCATTTAACCTTTTTACTGACAGTCACTATGTAAGCAAAAATTCTTGTACCTTTGGAAACTGCAGCTTATATTGCCTCTGTATCTCGAGCCCAGAGGCAGTTATTGGCTATTCAAACTTTGCTTTGGGCCCAATCTGTTCCCATTTACATAGGGCATTTGCGGGCTCATACTGACCTGCCTGGTCCCTTGAGTGAGGGGAATGCATTGGTGGATCAGCTTACTCACCAAATTTGTGCAGTTAGTCAAGAATCTTATGAAGCTGCAGAAAAAGCTCATAATTGTTTTCTTCTCAATGCTTAAATTTTCATTTTAAGATCTCTCTAGAGCAGGTCATTGATATTGTAAAAAAATGCTCTCTGTGTACAGAACTTTTAGCTGTTCCCCATCTGGGAGTTAATATTTGTGGGCTTGCTCCTAATCACTTACGGCAAATGGATGTTACCCATGTTCCTTCTTTTGGGTGTATGCAATATGTTCACATAACCGTGGATACATATTCTCATCTTATTTTTGCCTCAGCTCATACAGGAGAAAAATTATGAGATGTTAAAAGTCACTGTCTCTGGGCTTTTGCCTACATAGGAGTTCCAAAAACTGTAAAAACTGACAATGGGTCAGCCTACATCAGCATTGGCTTTGCTAAATTTTGCTCTGAGTTCTCTATTTCTCATAAAACAGAAATACCTTATAATCCTCAAGGACAAGCTATAGTGGAGCGAGCGCATAGTATGTTCAAAGCGTATTTGCATAAAATGAAAAAGGGGGAATTTGGTTCCACCACCAGAGACCATTTATCTTTTATTTTATACATTTAAAATTTGTTTTGACTGTTGATGCTTAATCTTGTACTGCTGCTGACTTGCATTGGCTACCAGTTTCTTCTGGGATGCCTCATGTCAAACGGAAGAATCTAGCAGATAACACTTGTGGTTCAGATCCCATATTGATGTAGGGGAGAGGGGCTGTTTGTAATTTCCCACAGGATGCTGACAATCCAGTATGGGTACCTGAGCACCTGATGCGTGCTGTAGATTTTCCTGTCCAGGAGCCTGAGGGCAGGACAGAACCAAGAGATCAAATAGACACTGGTTTGTCAACTGAAGAGTTGCTGGGGTCCTAAGGAGCTAGCTGTGGTTTTCCGAGTACCAAGGATTATTCCTATCAATCTATCATCTCATGATGATCAAGTCATCCTGTATCAAAAAAGAAGAGATTTTGGCTTTACAACAGCCTTAATGGCGGCCATTACTAAGGCTGCCAGAATGGCTACGACTGCTGGATTTACCACTGGTCAGTCAGTTGCTTCTGCTAGCACAATGGATACCTTATGGGGCAGGTTGCAAATACCTTGACCACTCAAAATGACTCTCTCTCTCTCTCTCCCTCTCTCTCCCCCTTTCTTTCTCTGCCCCCTTTACCCTCCATAACCCCCTGAATAAATATTTAACATGTTGAGTCTGTCCATGTCTATGTCTCCTGTCTCCCGGACCCACCGAGAGCTGTCTCTGCCACCTCACTGCATGGCGAGCAGCCCGCCCCACCAGGGACCTTGGAGCGAGCAGCTGGGGACCTGCTGGGCTTCCACTGCTCTGTGAGCTCGCCACCTGCTCACATGGCCCCCGGGGATCTTGCAGGGACCCACAGTCGTCTCTGCCTTGGAACTGGCTGCTCCCAGGGTCCGCTGCCTGCCTACAGCTGCCGCCTGGGGCACGCCAGCATTTTTTAAATCATAAAAGAGCTAAATTCACAAATGAATATTGCAGTTAAATTTGCAATTGGTGCAATTTGCAGTGGTTCAAGACCACTGTAAGGTTACAACTTACATATACAATAAAAAAGGTTTAATGCTGTTATTCATGGACCCTGGAGTACACAATTTACAAATTGGCTCATGAGATTATTCTAGTTAACTATACTAGGGTTCCTCTCGCCAGTGCTGAGACCTTATTTAAAGGGCTCCATTTTGTGGGCAGACTCATTAAGGATTGAGCAGGCTCAGCCTCTTTGGAGTGCTTATATGTGCTGGAGCATCATCCATGTTTTCATGGCGCCAGAGCCAGAGGCAAGCTCAGGTCAATGTCACCACTTGGCGAGTCCTCTTAGCTATTTCCTCAGAGGATCTTTCAGCACAAATCTGTCTGAACTTGGTGATGAGTGACTAGTGAGCCAATGACGGGAGAGGTTTTTGGGGGGCTGCTCCAACCTAAGACAGGAAATGTGTTTTGACCTGGATGCTTTCCCATGACAGGTAAGGGGTGTTGCCTGATGTCCAATGCCACCTAAGACAGGCCTAGTCATATAATTTATATAAAAGGGGAACCTGTAGGGCCTATTGGTCTACCCCTCCTCCCGGGGTACCGTAGAGAGTAACGCAGGTGTTACACCACACCAATAGTAGCACCCTGTTGACTAAACCTTAAACACGTGACGTGCCACTCTTAGTGGTCCTTCCTCAACGACCAGTCCAAGAGCCAGTAGACTATGAGAGTGCAGGGAGCTTGGTGAGGGCTGTTGAGAGCACGCTGGCTCCAAGAAGCTTCACTGGCCTTCCCTGGTAGCTATAGACAGGAATGTCTGTAGTCCCAGGTGCAGTGGCAGGCAGTCTCGGGGGAACCACCTCTGACACTAGATAAGTCAGAAAATCCCAAAGAACTTGCTTCTGGTCTTTTGGGACTTGCTAGTTTCCCACCTGCTTAAGCCAATGTAAGACCTGGGTTAAGAGCAGACACCTGAGCGTGGACACAGCTGTCCCCTTCTGGCAGTGAGAATTCAAGAGCCACAGGATGTGGCTGAATCAGTTAGCAGTGTGTTAGCTGGTGACAACCAGCCCATTGCTGGCCTTGTTCTTCAGAAAGCAACTTGGGTTGCAAGCTCAACCATCATCCACCATCCACCATCAGCCTCAGGGGCCTCAGTCTGCATCAGGATGTCTCTGCTTACTGACATTTACATGACCAGATCAGTAAAGCTGGATAAAAAAAGGATACAGAGTAACCAGCTATGCTGCTGGCCCCCACACCTTCCTCGTGGCCATGCTCAGACATGGGCCAGCATCACCCTCCTCCTGGGCCTCCCGCAGACCATGCCAGGCAAAGTTTGTCTCTGGAGGTTTGTCACCACCAGAAAAACTCAGTTTATTTCTGACATGTCAGAATTCTTGTTAGGACCAGAATGCATCCCAGCCAGCACTGCCATTTCTGGGCAGTGCCTTAGTGACAGGCATAGAATCCTTCCCACTTCTTCAGATCATCAGAGCCTGCAGCAACTGCAATATGTGGGAACCCCTGAAGCCACTGCCCTCTTCATCCCAACCCCAAGCAAGGCCATCTGATTTGAGAAAAGCCTCTGTGAAGCAGGCAAGGTCATGCTTGAAAGGTTCTTTAAGGCTTTGAAGATGAAGGGAGAGGGAACTGATGGACCGGGACACCAGTTTCATTGCCACTGACTATCCTGATCCCGTCCTGAGAAAGAGGAAGGTCTTCCTGAGATTGTCCTCCCCATACCTGAGCAGGACCTGTGGATGGGCTGTTGTTACTGCTCAGTGTGTACCCGTCTCCCCAGCTTGCGGAAGAGACCAACAGGTGCCCAGCTTTCCCGGCAGGAGTCCAGGGTCTGGGTCCTTTACTTCCTGGGTGAGCGCTGCTGCTGGAATACGCAATGCAGGGCTGCTCTGCGCTTGCAGGAGCTTCAGGGAGATTGTGTGGCACCACAGTTGTTTCTGCGGCATTTGGGCCCAGGGGACAGGCATGCCCTCAGACCTGGTGAGGTGGCTTCATCCCTAGCGATTCTGGGCAGACTCAGTGGACAGACAGGCAACCTGGACATGTGAACTAGGATGGACAAGGGCCACTGAGAGTGGTCAGGAAGATATGAGCCTGAAACCAGAACACAGAGAACTGCAAAAAGATGAGGCAACAAAGATCCAACCAGGCAGAGCCTGGTCCAGTTCCCTAGGAGCTGGGGACTGTCTTGGTGACCCTGTCTTCTATGTTTTATGGATGATCCAGGCATTTTTTTAAAATCAAGATAAATATTCACACAGAAATAAAAACCCTACTTACGTATCAGTTAACGGATGTTATAGGGTAAGAATTGCCAGGTATGGGTTAGCCTCAGAGTACTGGTCTAACATGTGAGGCCCTGGGTTCCATAGCCAGCACTAAATCAATCAATCAATCAATCGAGTAAAATAAAGGTCCTCAAACAACTTTCCTAGTTAGAATTGGAAAGTAACCCTTGGCAATGGTACAAGGCAGGTCAGGATATTCCCATTGCCTGGACAGCAGCACCCCGAGTGCCCCAGTGAGCCTTGGGCAGTGGTAATGCACGCCTTTAATACCAGCACTTGGGAGGCAGAGGCAGGCGGATCTCTGTGAGTTTGAGGCTAGCTTTGACTACAAGTGCTAGTTCCACTTAGGACAGGCTCCAAAGCTACAGCGAAACCCTGTCTCCAAAAATGAAAACAGACAGACAAACAGAAGAAGGCATCAGTACTGGGTCAATACTGTGCTGTTCCTGTGCATACACGGGTACTCTCGGGGAGGTATAATGCATCGATTAGACCCTTGGGAAGTTACTAACAAAGAAGAACACTAGTACCACAATAAAAACGACCGGAAACTTACACACTCTTATTTCTAGAATTTTCTATTTAATATTTTCAGTCCAGAGTTGACCCCTAGCAATTGAAATCACAGAAAATGAAACCGTAGCAAAGGGGGACTGCTATACTCGAGTCCTGCTCCACTCCATAAAGGTTCATGGGTCTCGTCGGCCCAGTCACATGTGAGTGACTCTGGGAAGGATCCTAGGGTGATGACACTCTCAGAAGCTAACAGGAACACCTGTGGGTCCATCCGACTTGAATTATTAATTATACGCTGACTGCAAAACATTTAAAAAGAACTGCAAACTAGAAAAAGAAATCCCTGAACATATTTAATGTAAATAAGTCCTTGAGATGGTACGTTTTACAAAAATCCTTTTTATAGGAGGGAAGGTAATAAGAGATTTCAGGAAATGACGACAATAACTATTTTTTTCAGAGGCGGTGAGAATGAGGAGGAATCCTGTCCCTCCTCAATACATTGTGTAAAATCCATCCAGCGTAAAGAACTGACCAGCAGGAGGTGGCTCTGCCTCACGTGCCCAGAGGGAGGTGCCCAGAGGGAGATGGGGCACTTTGTCTGGGTGTGCAAAGCATCTTCCAGCTCCAAGGTGGTTCAGCCTAGGTGTGCAAAGTGATTTCCAGCCACACAGTGCTTCTGCCATCTACCTGCCCAGACCACTTTCTGATGACCCACTTCTCTTTTTCTTCTTTGCCACTCTCAAAAAGTAAACTGGCATGGGTGACACAGCTCGAGGACACGTGTTCCCATCAACAGCATGGTCCGTGTGCACAGCATATACACAGGAAGGCACGCAGAAATGAAAGCAGATGTAGACCATCTATCTTGGAGGGCTCTGTGCTGCTGAAGCCCTGGTGTGGTGCTGAAGATTCTGGGAGGAAGGGAACCACTCTCTTGCTGAGTTGCAACAGTACAGGTGGCAGGACCTGAGGAAGGGAAGAGGCTCCCCTCCCTCCTAAGCCTGGCAAGTCGCTGAAAGGCTGTAAGAGTCAACTTTCCACAGTGAGCGAGTCCCTGGACCTGCCTGTGGCCAACTCCTGTCCATCTCTCAGAAGACACAGTAGGCTGCAGCTCAGCAGGATGGTGAGGTGTTTCTATGAGCAGCTGTTCCTTTTGGCTGGTTCCCACATCACCTGAGGCACCGTATGGACATTGCAGAAAGTCGGAAGTGGTCCTATTCGCCAGGAGTAAAACCAGGAAAAGCCAGTTTCTGCTAAAAAAAAGTCCATGTTGCTAAATGTCCTTTTCTCTTGGTTTCCATGTCTTCAAGGTACTAAATTCTAACTCACTTTTAGATAAGGGTACAGTTTGTGATGGGGGCTGGGAAACATGGAGGCAGAAAAAAAGAGGTCCATAAATATCCCTTAGGGTTCTACCTGGGAGGGGAAAGGTCAAGCCCCCGCAGAACCCATAAACCCATGCGTGCATCCAGATGAGCTGAGACCAGGAGCAGCCTCTGGAAGGGTTCACACGTTAATGTAAGAGGGGTTTTTTTTTTTGTGAGTCCATGTGCCTGGTGACTGCTATAACACACTGGCATCTTCCATGGCTTCCATCCACCTAGAAAACAGAAGACAGCATTGGGTATCTTTGTGACTGGACTAGATTCTTGCTAGCCTGAAGCCAAGAAATGGGCCACGTTTGTATACATTTCCCAAACTTTTCTGTATTTAGAAAACAGCTGGGATAGTATGAAAGTTGACTGAATCAATGCCCACATAAAGGAATCATGAGTGTCTCCGGCTGTCCTGGAACTCGCTCTGTAGATCAGGCTGGCCTTGAACTCAGAGATCCACCTCCCTCTGCCTCACTGAGTGCTGTGCCACCACTGCCTGGCTATGTTGCATTCTTTTATGTTGCATTTGTTTAACTCTGTGAAGCTGTGTTACTTTGCCTGTCTAAAACACCTGATTGGTTTAATAAAGTGTTAGATGGCCAATAGCAAGGCAGGGGAAAGAATAGGTGTGGCTGGCAGGTAGAGCAAATAAATAGAAGGAGAAAAAGAGAGAAAGGAAGAGAGATGAAGGATTGAGAAAAGAAGGGGCCAGCTACCCAGCCGACCACAGAGGAAGAGTGAAACTAAGATTACAGAAGTAAGAAAAGGAAAAAGCCCAGAAGTGAAAGGTAGATGGGATAATTTAAGTTAAGAAACGCTGGCTAGAAAGAAGCCAAGCCAATGCCAGGCATCTATAAGAAAGAATAAAACTCCATGTGTGATTTATTTGGTGCCCCCCCTAAAAGTCAAGAAAGTAAAACAACGAGCAACATCTCATGGCCCAGAACATGCATGCCTGCAGCTGTGCTAGGACCCCCAGGGGCTGGAACAGGACTGCTGTAGGAGGTCCTTCTGTATTTGCGTTGCTTTCATTGGTTGAATAAAGAAACTCCCTTGGCCTTTTGATAGGGCAGCCCTTAGATGGGCGGAGTAGACAGAACAAAATTCTGGGAGGAAGGGCAGAGTGGCAGACACCATGATTCTCCTGCTCGAGACGGATGCTGTTTAGACCCATGCTGGTAAGCCACAGTCAAGTGGCGATACACATTAATGGAAATGGGTTAAACTAATATGTGAGAGTTAGCCAATAAGAGGCTAGAGATAATGGGCCAGGCAGTAATTTAATTAATACAGTTTTCTGTGTGGTTATCTCGGGGGTTAAGCTAGCCGGGTGGCGGGACACAGCCCGCTGCTCCTCTTACTGCACAGGATAGTGCAGGGTGACACTGCGCTTCTCCGTAAGACAGACACAGGAATAGAAGACTAGCTGCTGCTGGTACCTCTGAGCAGAACTGCTGTCCTCTGCTTTGAAGCTATAAAACAGGGTTTTCTTGTGGTAAAGGTGAAAGACTGGTCCTGCTTCATTGCTGCCGGCCTCCTTTTCTGGAGCAATAGTGAAACCCAGCAGAGGGATGCTCTCCATGGCCACTTTGTCCTACAGGGGACAGAAGGAAATCTGATGTTAAAACCACACCCATAACCCTCCATCCCCCTAGGCTCAGGGAACATCACAAAAGGATGGGGAGAGAAAGAATGAAAGCGCTGAAAGATAGGGAAGACGCTGTGGAACTCTCTTCTGGACGTGACATGCCATTGTACCATGAACTCCCTGAAGCTATGGTCCCTGCACAAGGTCAAGCCAACAAGGTCAGACAGCATCCAACAGGCAGCACTAACTGGATTCAATGTGTCATTGACACACACACACAGACACACACACACACACACAAGGACATGAAAGTGGGAGGGGCATATTTAGGGGTGTTGGGGAAGTGGATAAGATCAAGGTACATTGTATACAAATGTGAAATTGTCAAATAATAAATAAAAGATTTAAAAAGCCACACCTGTATCAGCCCCTCACATTGATCCTGGCCTCCAGTGGAAGAGCATCTCTAATCACCCTTGCTTCCCGCCAGGACCAGTCCCGGAAAGGAAAGGGACTTAAGTTCTGACAGCCAACTAGGGCTAGATGTGCGCATTGCCAATATCTTTTAAATTCTCACCGTAGACAGAGAATGCTCAATGTCACACAACTAGCATAAGAGGAAGATCCAGGATTTGAATTCATAGCCTTCTAGTATTCTTCCCATGGACTGGAGTGGTCAATGACTTTGTATCCCAGAGTTTGTTCTGGCAACACATTCTGTATGCATTTCATGAAGCCTTTGTTTAGGGTGTCTCAGCAAAACCCCTCTACTGTCTAGGCTATGATGCCATGAGCACTCATGAGATGAACCCAGAAAATACACAGGACACTGGAAATACAGTGCCCAGCGGAAAACCCAAGATTTTTTCCTTATGAAGAAGGTAGATTTTTTATGGAGAGGAAAAAGTGCATGTTTATAGACACTGAAGACACCATAATAAAACAGACCCAAGGGAGTTACTCCAGCCCAGCAGAAGGGCCAGCAGCACAAGCGGAGGGGGTAAACCATGCCTTGAGAAAGCACCTGGCAGACCTCAACCCTTTGCTCAGACACAGAATCTCACCAAGCTAGATTTCCCCTACCCTGACAGATTACAAAATGCCCTGCCACTGTCCTGGCTTGCTTTCTCCCCTCCCCCGCTTGAGACAAATCCTTACACAGGACTCATGGTAACTCCCCTGCTCAGCTTCTGAGTGCAAGGACCCATAGGCATGCAGCACCATGCTTGGCTCAGTGACATGCCTTCTTAGGATGTGGCTGTTTTGAGCTGTGTTTCAACTTTCAGACTGGAAAGACGAGCCCCTGTCCCCGATGCAGGAAGCCCCACTGTGGACAAAGGAACAAAGGTCCCCTCTATCTGCCTGCTCCTCTGTGTGTGAGGATGAGACCCACAGGGACCACCACAGCTGCAGGTCTGTCAAGAGCAGGTCCTCCACCAATGGTCAGGACACATTTAAGTCTTGATTGTCACGTGGATTGGGCTTATGGAAGCCCCAAGGTGGTAGGACCTGGAGACGGAAACCACCTTATTGTCCAGCCCATTCAGTCTCTGAAGGACTAGCCAGCAGGATTACACCACCACAGCCCACAGCTGTCTACCCTGGGAAGAGGCTGGGCCCAAGGGCTCTCTTGTTTATTATACTTTATTTTTGAGAGAGCTCATGTTATCCAGGCTGGCTTTGAATTCACTCTGTAGCTGAGGATGACCTTGAACTTCTGTTCCTCCTGTCTCTGTGCTGGAATTATAGGCTTGCACCACTACACCTAGGCTATGGAGTGCTGGGTACCGATCCCAGGCTTCCTACATGCTGAGCAAGCATTCCAATAACCGAGCTGCAGCCCAGCCCTTGCTTGTATTTTAGACACTAAAACCAATATGTCCTATAAAAGTAGCAATGTGCTTTTATTTAGAAGCCTCACTGGAACCTGTGGTTATTTTAGTAAAAGCAACGGAGAGGCACAAAGGGAGCAGTTTTTTCTGAGCTGCCACATGTTGTCCCAAGCAACCGAGATAGAGAACAGAGGCAAGTTCTCTCTTATGACCTTGCCCTGCCTGCTGAGCCTGTGACATGTAAGTACTCTGTGAATGCTCACAGCCACATTCTAACCCAAAGACTTGAATCCCACCAGCAGAGGTCCCAGTAGAATCCAGAACTCATGCCTGCAGACACAGGGAGACCCTAGCTGGTTGCTCCTCCACCCCCACCCCTATTGCCACACTCATACTTAACACAGGCCTCCCGGAGATAACAGCTGCGGAAAGGATGTACCTCACTGGCCAGGTAGGTGTAGAGCACTTTGCCCTTGATGACCAGCCAGAGCTTCTTCCAGCGTCGCTTGCCACTCTTACAGCGGCTCAAGTAGCCACTGATGGCCGAGCCCTCCCCAGATGCGGCCACCTGGTGGGGAGAAAAAAGCAGGTAAACAGACAAACCGGCCAGGGCAGACCCTCGGCAGGGGAGTTTGAAAGCTGCTCCGATTGATGGTCTCTTGCGGTCAGTAAAGCTACTTCAGGGGTCTTAGAAGCCGATGTGAACGTCTAAAGCTGCCTCCAGGAGGGCTGCTGCTACTGGGATCCTACTCCTTCCCAGGACGCAAGATGGATTCATCCACTTCTGCTTAGAAGGACTTCACACTTAAGAAGGGAGTGTGGGGGTAGGGGGAGTCCCCTTGCCTGGCAGAGTAGATGCAATCCTACGGTGTCATACTGCTGTCTGTGTTAGGTGACATCCCTTTGCAAGGCTCTGGCTGTGGCTAACACTGAATGGGGCTCCGGTTCACTGTGTGAGTATGTATGAGGCCCTGGGTTCCACCACCAGCACCAGAAAACAAAGAAAACAAAAGAAACCTCCAGTTTGGTTTGGAGGGCTGCAATCCAGGGGTCCCGTCAGGCTCCAGCAGTAACTATGCACATTACCAAGCAGTTTATTGACCTCCTGCGGGCCTCCATTTTCTCACTAGTGAAAAGCAGGAGGCGTCCTGACAGGTACCATGCCTGATTTACACTGAGTGAGTTGGAAAGCAACATGGCCAAGTTTAGGGATAATTTCCTCTGATTTTCTCATTTTACAGACAGGGGAACTGAGGCCCAGAGGGATTTCCTGTAGTTCAGTCCCTCCTTAACTTAAAGGAGGAGGACACTCGGTTCTTTCATCAAACATTCAGGTTGAAATTAAGCCAGGCTTCATTTCCAGCACGAGCTGGTTGGAGGTTCTAGGCTCTAACCTGAATGTTGCTACTTCGTAACTGTGATTTTGCTACTATTATGAATCATAATCTATTTGCTATGCAGAATCTTTTTTTTCTTTTTTTTTAATTGGGGGAAAATGAACAGGAATAGGGGTGAGGGGAGAGGGGAGACCAGCCTCTGGGGACAGGAATGGCAGAAGAGAAGAGAGGCAGGCAGAGAGAGAGAGAGAGAAGCAGAAAGAGAGGGAAAGAAAGAGACAGGAGATGGGTAAGGTGCCCCCCCCCACCTTTTGAAAGGGAAGGTAGCCTGGTATGCAGAATCTTATATGCTAATTTCTGCCTGGGCTCTCACCCCACCTGCCCTGATGAAGCCCCTCCACAGATACAATGGAGCACCTCCAAAGATCCCATGGAGTACTCCCACAGATCTGATCTGCAGCCTCCTGAGAGCTAGATACTTGGGTTTTCAGAGTCTTTCTCAACATCCCCCTGGGAAGCAACGCTGCAGAGGCAGAGCCCCTGTAATGGGAGGGGGTACTGGGAGTGGAGCTGTGGGTACCCCTCTCCTGGATTCTCTACTGGACCAGGGGCTGGCAGAAGTAAGCAAGGGCCTGTGGGCATATTTCTGTGCTATGAACATGTGAACATTTCTTGAAGGAGCCATAAGGATTTTGGTCATGGCTGGAGAGGTAGAAAAACTCACTTCTAGATTGTATATTGTTTTGTCTATTTTGCAGATTTTTTCTTACCATATATATATATATATTATTTTCAAGATTTTTGGGGCGTGATCAGAACTTGACACACTATCAACAGGCAGGCCCTTTACCACTAAGCTTTATCTTAGCCATATTTCCAAGGTCTTGAGTTTGCAAATGGAAAAAGTTAATGGCTAAAACAGCACTCACTCACAGACAGTCACTTCCTAACTCAGTGGTTCTCAACTTGTGGTCGTGACTCCTTTGGGGGAGTTGCATATCAGATTTTCTGCATATCAGATATTTATATTATGATTCATAATAGTAGCAAAGTTACAGTTATGAAGTAGCAACAGAATAATTTTATGGTTGGGAGTTACCATAACATGAGGAACTGTATTAAAGGGTCGCAGCCTTAGGAAGGTTGAAAACCACTGGCCTAACACATCTTCACACCCACTGCTTGCTTGATGGTGACTATTAATGGGGACTTGAATACAGCTGGCTATGCCTCTTGGGAAGGCTCTACTCCTCATGGGCTTGGGTTCCTACCTGCAAGACAGACCTGCATTTAGCCAGTTTTGAGGTTTCTTGAAGAATTTAATAGTCTCAGGGAGGCTCGCACCTGTGCTATCTGCTTCCTGCAGTCTGAGAACACACAACTCACACATGCTAACTTGGGACAATTAACCATAACTTCGTGGGACAATTAATGGTGACTGCAACTCACCAGTGACCTGAGCAGACCCATGGGCACTAATTCTATGTTATGGGGACAGAGAAAAAGAAAGACAAAGAGGGACACAAAGATGCCTCTCAAGCTCCTTTTCAGCCCCAGAGGTCTTCGGCAGACAGGATTACTCTTAGGGATGGCACCACCTAGCCTCAATATTGGGGTCTTTCCTGGGACAGCGACTTGCCACTGTCTGCCATGTATGCCTTACCTCCGCCAAGGCTGAAGGGACTTTTTTCTGCTTCTTGAAAGTTGAAGGACTAATGCTGTGGAAGACGGAGGAGAAGGTGCTGCCCGAGGAGAAGCGGGACGACGACAGTGGGAAGCTCATGCTGACTGGACGCTCTGCAGAGGTAAGAAACCAGGGGAAGGGTGTCTGGACTGCTGGCTCAGGTGCCTCCAAGGCTCACAGGGGTAGGAGTGGGAGTCAATGGGACCAGAATGGATGGCATGCTCCTTCCTGCTGATGCTGTACCTAGGTTTGGGGGATGGGAGCCACTTTCCTAGGATACTGGACAGCTGTCCTGGATCAACTAGCAGGACTATGCCTCCCCTGAAGACCTTCGTGTGGCCTCGCGATGGTCCAAACTGCACCTACTGTCCCTCCTGCCTGATAATTCTGGGCACAGTTTATTACTTAAGTATCAAGTCTCAAGGGTCAATTCAGTTTCTAAGGGGCTCTCTGTCCTTTCCTGACCCCTGAGACCCTCCCAGCAGCCTCACAATCCTGCCAAAAGATCCCAAAGACAGCACACCCGTGGACTATTCCTGGGAATCCCACAGGAGCTGTGGAGATGGCTCAGCAGTTAAGAGTATACACTGCTCTTGCAGTGGACCTGAGTTTGGTTCTCAGCACCCATATCAGGTGGCTCACAGATGCCTGTAACTCCAGTTCCAGGGGATCTGACGTCTTCTTCTGGCCTCTTTGGAAACCTGCATTCATGTGCACATATCCACACACAGATACACATTATTAAAAATAGATCTTTTTAAAAAAAAGTTCCAGAAAACATAGGCTTATGGAATACCCTGAAAGGGTCATCTATGGTAGACAGTCACAGCAGCCCTGTCTTCTCTGTGGCTTCACAGGGACACAGCAGCTATCAGGTTCCCATGGAGCCCCAGTCTTGAGCCTTAGTTTCCCCAGTGGCGCCTTAATGCAGAACCTTTTCTCCCTTCTTCAGGAGAAAGCAGGTTCAAGCAGGATACCCTAGAGGTTCACGAGAACTTGGGGAGAAGTCATCAGGCCTGGAAGATGTCAGTTACCTCTCATGGGGCCTGGGACAGGCCCATTCCTCAGCTTCAGCTCCCGGAAGCAGCCATCACAGACCTTGGCCATCCGGTTCTTGAGGCACTTCAGTGGGTACTTGTTTCGAGAACAGTTCCGGCACACAATCTGAGTTCATGTTAGGATCACACATGTAAGCTGTGGGTCACCCTCTCAGCATGTGCTGTCAGCTAGTTAACCCACTCTTCACCTCCTGCTGAGAGTCCCAGGTTCCCAGCTGCTCTGTGTCATGTGGACCCTTGCTTTTCCAGGCCGGGCTACAGAGTGTCTCTGAGCAAGTGCCCTTACCCACGAAGTAATACCCTCTCCTCCAACAACCATAACAGTGAGCTCTGGGGCTCTTAACATGGCGTGGTGGTAGCAGAAGGGGCCTGGGACTGGCCGTGATTGGTGGATCTCAGTGACACGGACAGGAAGCTCTACTTCTCAGGGTGGTCTTGAACTCTTCTTCAGGCTCCCCAGGCCCCGTGGTCAGGGACATGCCCTCCCCTTCCTGAGCACACCCTCACCCAGTCTGCCACTCACCTTGCCACAGGCGTGGCAGTGGTGGCGCCTCACGGTGAGCGAGAAGTCACATCCGCAGTTCATGCACATCATGGCGTGCGTGACAGGTACCAGGGTGGGAAGCCTCTCCCCGAGGCTGATCCCCAGCCTCTCCCGGATCTGTGGCAACCAGCAACCACAGTTAGGAGAGAGCCAGGCGGACAGCTGGGAAAGCAAGGCCCCCTTTCTCCCTAATTCTGAGCAAAGCCTCCCACACCCCTTGACCTGCTCTCCAAACCACAAGGTATGGTCCTGGGTTGAACTGTGGTGCCATACTCTGTCTGACTGGAGCATGGTAGAGGGGCTAGGATGGGGGCATTGCCAGGGTCCCTATGACAGCACACACTTGACCTCCTGCTGTAAGTAGCCTATAGCACCCTGGGGTGGCCTTCACTCACCTCCACACTGTGGTGGAAGGCAGCCAGCGCCTGGGTCTTGTAGTCCTCCGGGAGGGCTCTGCTCAGACAGTAGTGCCATTCGTCCCTCTCTGTGCAGGAGCTGTAGGCACAGGCCGGGTGAACCACAGTGCTGTAGATCTCCCTGGCACCCTCCTTGTTGCTGTGAGTTCTTGGTTAGCAGCCTCTGGGCTGAGTCTTGCCCGATGTCCGAGTCCCTCTCTACCTAGAGAGCCGAGGGCAGCCCAGGGGGAAGCTGGGTGGAAATTCTAAGTGGCCACTAGGTGTCGCTCTCACCCTGCACAGGATTGTTCAGGTTGCATAGTCCAGAAAAGCCCAGGCAGGGAGACCACTTTGGTCTGTCATTCAGAGGGCAAACGGGTATGGCAGACAGCCAGGGTCACACTGCTTAAAGGGGACAGATATCTCTCCTTCAGTGTGTGGGGTCTGGGCTATTAGGAAAGCAGACCTGACAATGGCAGCTGGTCCTCCAGGCCACAAGCTAGACAGACAGTAGTGCCTCAGTCAGGAGTAGACAGTCATTGTGGTCTGTCACCCCTGTCATGGCTGGGCACCCAGAAACTATACCCCGAGCCCTGAAGCCCTAATTGCATCAAGCAGAGAAAAGAGGCCAAGGAGCAACTCCAGGAGGCTCTTCCAGGAAGTCTTCCCTCCCTGTTGTGGGACATCCCTTGTCCCTTCTATCCTGTAGGATTACAAGAAGTTACCACCCACAAACATGGGGCTCTCACCAGACCCCGAATAGACTGGTATTTCGGCCTTTCATTTTCCAACTCCTGGACTGAGAGAAGCAGATTTTGTTTCTCCAACAGCTAGTTCATGGGGTTTTAATTACAGCCTTCTCCCACGTCCTGAGACCCTCCCCCAAAGACAGAGCGGTCAGTGATGGGTGGTCACTCATCACTTCCTTCTTGCCCTGTTGAGAGGAAAGTACCAAAGCTGACAGCACAGCCCACTGAGCACACGGCACATCTAAGTCACCTGAGAATCTCACACTGAGCCAAATTGTCTATAGCAATTTTTGATGAGCTACTTTCATGGGGCATACAGTCCTCTCGGCATAGGAACCAGCATTTATGTTTGGTTTTATGTGGCTGAGGACCAAACCAGGACTTTGAGTCTCTCGGGGAGGTGCTTTACCATTGAGCTAAGTCCCAACCCCCAGGGAATTTTTTCTTTGGTTATTATTTTCTATTTGAGCCTCTGCCTCTGTGTGTGTGTGTGTGTATGAATGCATAGCTCTGAGTGTACACATGTGTACACGAGTGTAGATATCAGAGCTCAATATCATGTATCGTCCTCAATCATTTTCACCTTTCTTTATTTTTAAAAAGATTTATTTTATGTGTGTTTTGCCTGCATGTGCCCAGAAGCAGCATTCACATGCAGTACCCATGGTGGCCAGAAGAGGGCATTGTAACTGGAGTTACAGGCAGTTGTGAACTGCTATAGGGCTTCTGGGAACTGAACCCAGGTTCTCCAGAGCATAGCAAGTGCTCTTTAACTTCTGAACCATCTCTGTAGCCCCTCTATTTTTTGAGACAGGGTCTCCCACTAAACCTGGAGTCTGTTTATTCTAATACACTGGCTTGCCTGTGAGAGTCTCCTAGCCCTGCCTGCCCAGTGCAGGGGTTCCCAGCATGCAGCACCACTCCTGGCTTTTCACATGGATTTTGATAATCAAACTCAGGCCCTCACTTTTGTGTGACAATCACTTTTTCTATTGCTTTACCTATTGCCCTATCTCTGCTGGTCCTGGTTTTGACTTTTTGAGGCAGGATCTTTATCTTTCCTCCTCAGCCTTCTGAGTGTTGGAACCACACCGACTCTTTTGTGATTTGAGAAAAGGTCTTGCTATATTATTCAGGCATGCCTTGGACTTATGATCCTCCTGCCTCTGTGCCTGCCTCAATGCTAGGCATTTTCTCTTTCTTTATTTCTTTCCTCTTTTTTGGCATTTTTCTATAAATTATATTCCACAGAGGTCTGCAACCACATAGCACTCAAGAAACACTGACAACCGGGAGAGAAAGAGCCCTTTCCAAAAGGACACCAGGACAGAAATGACGCCATCCGCCGCCTCTGCTCCCCTGAATGCTCCCACCCTGATGCCCCTGTTCCCCATACCTCGCAGACAGTGTCAGGCAGGTCTCAGGAGTTTCGATCTTCAGAGCGTAGGGCACTTTATCCATCACGGGGCGGCTGACCTGCCAGGAAAACCAACAGCATCGACTTCAGGGTGCGTGTGTGTGTGGGGTGGTTTAACACAGACAGCTTTGTCCACTGCTAGTGGGTAGACAGGGTTCTGATTGACATGCGTGCTTCCATTACCTGCTGCTCTGCTGTCTCTCCTCAGCATGCCCTTCTCAGTCACCAGCCTCAGATGGCATCAAAATTAACATTCCAAAATGTTCTCTGTCTCCAGAATTCCCCAAAGTACTCACACATCCTTATGCTTGAAACCAAGATAAGTCAGGCTAGTCCACACATTACACATATATAGTGGAGGAGGGTTATCTGTCTATTGTGTTATTTTCATTGGTCAATAAAGAGACTGCCTTGACCCTTTGATAGGACAGAAAATTAGGTAGGCGGAGTAAACAGAACAGAATGCTGGGAAGAGGGCAATGGGGCAGACGCCATGGAGCCAGCCACCAGGTCAGACATGCTGAATTTTTCCCGGTAAGCCACACCTTGTGGTGCTATACAGATTATTAGAAATGGGTTAATCAAGATGTGAGAGTTAGCCAGTAACTAACTCTCTAGAGATAATGGGCCAGACAGTGTTTAAATGAATACAACTTGTGTGTTATTATTTCTGGGGCTAAGCTAGCCGTGCGGGAGCTGAGCAGGATGAAAAGCAGTCCTGCCCGCAACTCCTCACTACACATATAACAGCTGAGAGGTGTCCAGTGGTAGATGAATGGAACACACACACACACACACACACACACACACACACACACGAGAGAGAGAGAGAGAGAGAGAGAGAGAGAGAGAGAGAGAGAAACAAAGAGATAAAAACAGGCACAGATGGAAAAACAGAAAGATGAGACACACAGAGAGACAGAGACAGAGGAGCCTGAGCACGTGAGGGAGCAAATGTGCGCGCCTAGAAAAGCAAGAAGAACCTGACCAAGCTGCCACATGGAAATCTTGACCACAAAGCTAAGTGAAGCCAGTCGCTCCAAGAAGACAACTGCTGTGGAATTCTACCTATATGAGGTCACTCAGTCAGTCAAATTCATAGCAATAGAACAAACAGTGGGTACCAGGCTGGGAGCAGGGATGGGACTCAGTGTTCAATGGACTGTTTCGGAAGACAGAAAGGTTCTAGAGCTGGGTGGAGCTGCTGGTTCAGCACTGGTTCTCGTCACTGAGCTCTGTCCTTACAATGGTGCAGAGGGTTATGTGGCATGTATATCTTACCACATTTAATGATATAACCCAAACCTGATTGTTTGCTCCCTCCAAGCGGTCCCTGCATTACTGTCCTCCTTGTAGGGCCACCCTTCCCTATGCACCATCCGCTCTGAGAGTATATCATTGGTCCCTAGTTGTATCTGGGCAACCCTGTGTTTAAGCGTTGCAGTCCTCACTGAATACTGTATCCTTGGGCCTTGGGCCTCAGTGAAGAGGAGCAAGGTTGGCTCCATCTCGCCAGCATCTCCTTGTGAGGACTTTCCCACCACTGCTGGCCCTAGTCCCAGGCTACCCAGCGTTAGATATCTACCTTCATGCTGGCCACTGGCAGCGAGCTCTTCAGACGGTACTTCCCATCCTTCTGGGGATGTGTGTAGAGGAGCGTGTCGTTCATCTGCACAGAAGGAACTGAATCACACCAGTCCTAGCCCTGAAGGCTGCAGCAAGCACGTCCCTGGGCTCTGGGGTGCAGGCACCTGGCAATCCTCAGTGACACCCCACCAAGGAGTAAAACCATCCTGTGAAACCATCACCACAGTTCTACTCCCGTGGGGAACACCCAAGAGGACTCGGCGCGTTTGCCAAGGCTCTGGTACCAAGTGTTAGAACAGCTTTATGTATAACAGCCCTAAAAGTGGAACAAAACAAATGCCTTGACAGCTGATGGATAAAGAACTTGTGGTTCAGTCAGGCTGTGGGATATCATATAGCAACCCAAAGGAGTAGGCTGCCAGACTCTCTAGCCACAAGGCCAAATCACAGGCATGCTGGGGTGGGGGGAGTCAGACATGTGAGCGCATGCCCAATGTCTTTATGTGAAGGTCCAACTAGCAATTAGGCTAGTGGGTACCTGAGAGTGGGGAGGACTGACTGCCAGTATTAGCAGAGCTTTCTGGAACTATTGCAAATGTTCTCAACCCTGATCCGAGTGGTAATTATAGAATGGCATACACTAGTCAACAAACACCAACACCATAACTTAAGACTGGCACATATAACTCAATAAACAAAATAGTTAAGAAAGGAAGTGGGGACTGGTAAAGTGGCCCATGCCTTTAACACCAGTACTCAGGAGACAGAGGCAGGTGAGTCTCTGAATTGGAAGCCAGCCTGGTCTATATGGCAAGTTCCAAACCAGCCAGCGCTACATAGTGAGACCACACCTTTAAAAAAAAGAAAAGAAAGAAAATAGGGGCCAGTAAGACTGTTCAGTTTAATCCCGGGAACCCACATGGTAGGAGGAGAAGGGGGACCACCTTCCTTGCTTCAGGGTCTAATTCAGGCGGCCCATTTAGGAAATGTGTACAAGGCCCTTGGCGCATCCCCTGGGCAATCCTTGTGCACAGCTGCTGTGGCTTCCGTTCTTCACTTCAATGCCTGACTCTCTGCCACTGATTCTTAGCCTCTTCTAAGAACCCCTCTACTCCATCTCACGATTCTCGGTCGTCAGTCTGTGCGTTTCCCTACTCTTACATCCTAAAGGCTGCGAGCAAGGCTGCGAGCGATCTTTGTGCTCGTGTCCTGGCATCGAGGTGTTGCCTGGTGAATCCTGGAACCACAGAGCTCTAAGCTGCCCTCCACCGTGCTGCCTACAACTCCAGCAGTGTGGGAGGCAGCTGACAGCACAGGCACAGCAGGGAGAGGCGCAGGGCGTGTCACAGGAGTGAGGAAACAGAGACACCCAGCAGACAGCAGGCCTATAGTTTGGCTCTTGGGGGTCCCTTAAAGGCCTCTGTGTTGAAGGCGTGGTCCACAGGGTGGCACCTTTAGGGGTGGGGCCTAGTGAGGGGAAGTTAGGTCATGGGGCACGACCTTGAGGAGACTGTTGGAACCCAGCCCCTTCCCCTTCCTGTCTTACTTCCTAGCCACGAGGTGAGCAATGACTCTGCCTTGTTGTGCTTCTTGGCCATAGGCCCAAAACTTCGGTGCCACCCCATCAAGGGCTGGTACCTCCACAACTGGGAGGTAGATGCTGCCTTTCCTCTTTAAAGCCTGACCGTCTCCGACACTTGTTCTAGGGACAGTCAACACAGAAGGTACAGTGTCATGACAGAGGGGACAAAGAGCTACTTGCAGTATTAAGAGCCTGAGGTTGGCATCCCCACCCCACAGGTCTTGGATACTCCCTGATGTTCAAAGTGTGGCCGTGTGTCCTCAGATGTGTCAGGTGTGCCCACCTGCACGGAGTGGTGGATCAGAACCATGATCCTGGCTACTCTCTGGGCCACCAACCTAGACAAGTTGGTCTCCTCAGCCCTCTGCTGTCTCACACACCATAGAAAGTGCCTATGGTACCCTAAGGTGGCCCTGGATGGAGCTGCTTCATGGAGGCACGTGAGGTATTTACTTCAGCAGCACCACCGCCAACCATTCAAGTAACAGATAAGCAATGATTTTTGTTTTCTTTTGTTTTTAGGGCTCAGTTATACACCCTGAAGACTGTCCTAGCTCCTCCGGTGGCCCTAGAAAGCCAACAGTGGGGCGTGGCGTACAGCCAGTGCTTACCAGAAACAGGTGCCGGGGGTGTCGGCTTTTGCCTCTCACTCTCATCAGCGTTCCTTCCTTCAGAAACTCCTGGAGGGAGAGAAGCCAGCCTCAGAAGGCGAGAAAGTCTGGGCAGGTTCTGTGTAGGAAGCCGTCACCATAGCTGCCACAGTACCCACGAACAGCTCACGGAGACGCTGGGCTCAGGAACCCTAGCTGGGTAGCCCGGCCTTCTAGAGCCTCCTCATGCAGCACCAAGTCAACGCTGCTCTGGCCACCAAGCATGTGTCCAGGCTATGACTCTCTCCCTAAGTGGCACCACAAAGGGTCCATTCGGAACATGGCCTTTGAAGGTTTGCTGAACATCTGGACTGTGAATAGTGACTCCAGCCCCATCCTTCTGAAGGATACAAACACGGATGTAGGAAGGACTTCGGGGCACAGGACCTCAGTCAGAACTGCGTCTGAGATTTCACAGAATCCTAGACTAGGAACATCCTGCCCATGCGGCTCAAGCCCTCATTCCAACTGGCAATGATCACACTTCAAGCTATTTTCTGAGCGGAGTTGTATGTTTTCCATCTGGAAGCTAAAACGTAAATCAATCAATCTCTCTCCCACCCCTCCCTTTCTGGGCAGAGAACCCAGGACCTTGCCTACACTAACCATGTGCTCCACTCCCAAAGCGTCACCCATCCCTGTTTTGTTAAGACGCTATTTTTATGCTGTTTCTTGGGGCTTGCCTCTGAGAGCTGCTCGGATCTCTGCTTTCCTGGCAATCTGGAGCTAGAAACACTTGGTACATTTGTCTTTCCTCACTGGAGAGAGCTACCCCAGGGCAGTTATGGTGAGCAAAACTGACTGGCACTGTTTCTTGAACTGCCCCGAGAGGGCATCGTGCAAGGAGGGGTGCAGACAAGCTCTAGGGTGGTGCACCATGTCCCCTACCCCTCCTAACCAGCACCTGCAGCCAGGCCTGTCTGGGGCCAGCCCAGCTGAACAATGGGCTTATCAGAGTCAAGCTGGCCCTCGGCCTTACCCAGACAGCACTCACCCTTCCTGGCTGGAGGAGGTCCCCTTGGCCCCGCACACTGTACTCGATGTGGACCAGCTTCTGCAGGTTTTCCTGTGGGCAGGAACAGGAGATGGTCACCCTTCCACTCCCCTACCCAGTGCTGTGTATCCTCTGCAAGGGGGGTGGGGACATTGCTTCCACTACAGAGGAAGAAAACAGAGCTCAGAAAGGCCCAGCCCAAACCCAAGCTCTGAGATGGCAGGCGGCATGGGGTTCTTGGCCTGGGATTTCCCAGCGATGAAAGACGAAGGGACTGCTGCACCTTTGCCACATTACAGGGAGAGGAGGCTGGCAGAGGGAAGTGACGAGAATGAAGGGCCAGTGGGAGATGGTTCTGTGGGCAAAGGAGCTTGCTGCCAGGCCTGACGACCTGAGTTCTCTCAGAACCCACTCGGTGGAAAAAGAGAGCTGACACCACAAGTTGTTTGGTCTCTGACCTTCAAATGTATGAACACAATAAACGTAAAGAGGTTATTTTTAGAGTGGAGGGCAGTTGAAATGTTCTTGAGCTTGTGAAGGCCAAGTGTGGGCTGGTAGCACAATTCAGGGTAATGGAGCTATGGACACTGTGGTCAGGAACCAACCTGCAAGCTCTTGCAGCTGTCTGGCAGGCACCGAGGGCGTATGGGGGACAGAGTCCTCTGAGATGCCAGTGAGCAGGCTGCATAAGGTTTCAGAGGCCAGAAGCCCACCAGCCTTTTAGGCAAAGATCATGTACTCTGAGAAGAGGGCTCTGGTCTGTGCCCTGATACCACACAGAAGCTGACTACCCCAGAAGACGGGCAGAGACCTGTCCAAGCCCAGCCTCAGGCTCAAGGTAGAATGGGGCTGCCACAGGGCACGAGGCCACCAGACATGCCCTTCCCCAGAGAAGGCACACATGGGGAGAGGGCCTTTCTGCCTGCAGATATTTCTGGAAACCAGGAATGGAGTTGAATGTGAGGGAGCTCAGGTCTTAGAGCCCTGCAGATGCACGGGACCCGGAGAGAGATGAAGGCTGACAAGGACGGAGAACAGATGAGTATCCAGCCCCGTCATCATCTATGGCCGGCCTGGATCAACTGGTCACACTCCTCACATCCCACCACACATAGCACAATCAAAACAAGATGTAAATGCTGTTCTCCACAGCCTCCACAGAACTTATGTTCACAGCGTCTGGTATTCAACCAAAAGTCACAAGAACACATTGGTTGCAGGGCATAAAGAAACCAAGTTGGAGCTGACCTGAACTCTTCCTTCCAGATGGCTAGCTTCCATAGGGCTATGCAGGTTGCTAGGGGAGAAAAGCTATCAATAGTATTACTCATTGACAAACTCTGCATGTTACAAACCATCCTGCTAGGCAAGATGTGCCCACTGGTACAATAGTGGCATGAAGGTTGTGGGGGCAACCAGCCACTTTGGGATTGGAGTCCCACAGAAAGGAAGTCATGTCTGTCACTGAAGCCTTAGTCAAAAGCCCATGGCTAGGGCGGTGATAGGCCATAGGAGAGAATCAATACCGCTGCCTTGATAAATGGCCATGTTGTCAAAGTACATTCTAAGTATCTGTTTATACATATAGATTAGTGCTCCCCTCCATCTCGATCAGAGAAGCTTCTCCCTGCAGTGGTCCAGACTCCTAACTGTCAAGTGCTGAGTATACATGATGACTAAGTGTTCAGCCATAAGTGGGACATCTACATCAACCCCTGACTCCCAAGGCTCAGAGAACACGGAAATGCCATCTTCTAGACATGATGTGGTCATTGTATTCACAGCAGCTAGGGTCACCTGCCTAAGGCCTGCCAAATATCAAGTCAACAAGGTTAGTCACCACTGCAGCAGGCAGAACTAATTGGATTCGGTGAGTTACAATAATAAAAAGAAGAACATTAAGGGAGATATATACCGGGGATGCTTGGGAGGATTAGAAAGGGGTTGGGGATAGATATAATCAAAATAAATTTTTATGTGCATGAAATTATCAAATAGCAAATAAAAAATATGCTACAATTTTTGTTTTAATCACGAGAACACACATCCAAAACCAAATTGGGTTGGGGGAATGGGCTGGAAAGGTGTCTCAGAAGAGAACACTGGCTGCTCTTCCAGGGGACCTGGGTTCGATTCCCAGCACTCACATGCCAGCTCACAACCACCTGTAACTCTAGCTCCAGGGGATCTAGTGTCCTCTGTTGGCCTCTAGAGGCTCCAAGTACGCATGTGGCACACAGACTTAGACATTTTGCTGGCAAAACACCCATTACACAGAATAATATAATAATAAAATTTTTTTTAAAAATACCAAACTGGGGAGACAAATGCAACTTATTTTTTTCAGAGAGAAGGCAGTGCACACATTCTAGGTGACAAGCATCAGAGCTCTGGGCCAAGAACCAAAGCAACCGTTACACTTTGGGCCCGGTGCGAAGGCTGACAGATGGCTCGTACGAGCGGATGGAGAACTTAAGTGGGGCTGCTGGCTGCACAGAGGAGCTCAGGGAAACTGAACACAAGCACACAACCCACAGTCCCAGACACGGAGACTCTTCCCAGGCTTAGCTGTGGACTGAACAGAGCCGAGGAAAGGAAGAGCCAGAGAGCACAAAGATAGATCATGAGAACACAGGGTGAAGAGAGGGGTCGGGGAGAGAGCTCAGTAGTTAACGTGCTTGCCTTGAATGCAAGCGTGAAGACATGAGTTCAGTCCCCCATACCCATGTAAAAGCCTGGATGTGGCACCTACAATCCCATCACCAGGGAAGTGGATATTGATCAGCCAGTCTAGCTGAATCAGTGAGTTCCAGGGTCAGTGAAAGACTGTCTTAAAAAATGAGGTAGGTCACCGAGGTGTAGAAAGAAGCACATGTCTTTAGGCAGAGGCAGGTGGATCTCTCTGAGTTCTGAGTTAAGGCCACATTATAATGATAATTATAGTAAGTTTATATAATTATAACATATCATATATTATATATACATTTTATAGTTATAAATTTATACTATTTAAATATATAAATATATAAATACACAGATTTATAAATATATAAAATTATATTATATATTATATATAATATTTATATATTATATTATATATAATTATACATTATATTATATTATTATATATAATTATAACTATAGTAAGTTTCAGGACAATCAGAGCTACATAGATAGACCCTTCCTGAAAAACAAAAACAACAACCCAAACCAAAAAACCAAACCAAACAAAACAAAACAAAAAACCCAAGAAACAGTGGAGGCTTCCTCTGCAAAACGAAACCCCATCATTGGAGCCAAAAGTCCATGGCTAAACAGGTCATAGGCCCTAGGAGAACCTGCCACTGTCATTCTGCAAAGTGAACATTATATTAAATGGATATCTAATGATTTATTGTTATACCTATAGATTAGTGCGTCTTTCAGCCGTCACCCGAGAAGCTGCTTTTAGCAATAAACACCCACAACTGATCAGGGTGTAGAGAATGAGAGACGACAGAATGCTCAGCCCTAAGTGGGACACCTGTATCACACTCCTGCCTTGCAAGGCTCAGGGATCAAAGCAGAAGAAGGGGCAAGAAGATTGTAAAAACTAGAGGCGGTGGAAGACTATGAGAAAACTGTGTTTTCCAGACTCAACAGGGCAGCTGCACAGATGAACTCATAGCAGCTGTAACAGCATGCACTTGCAAAGACCCAAGCCAGCACAGACAGAGGGAAGGTAGACACTAAGTCCCACTGAGTCCCCACTGAGGAGCTACTGGCAGTTGATAGTTGCTGGTGGAGGGAGAGTCAGTGTTCTTTAAGGATTTGATCCCCAGTATGTCCATCATGTTTCAGTGGAAAGCCACACACTCAGGAGTTTATGTATAGGCAGCATTAGCTGGACCTAATGGCGGGGGTGGGGGTGGGGTGAGAGCGCCTGTGTGAGGGAGGGAAAGAGGGAGAAAGAGAGAGAGCACAAATTAGAGTGGGGAGGGGAGGAGGTTGGCTCTAGGGGAAGGGGTTGAATATGATCAAAACACATTGTATAAAATCCTCAAATAACTAATTAAAAAAGAAAAGAAGGTGGAGAGGAGTTGAGCAAGATACCAATATTGACCTCCATGTGCGTGTACACATTTGTGAACATCTATACTTGCACAAAAAATGAGGAAAAGGAAAGTGTGAGA